TAATCATTTAGATTATATATTAATTATAATCACTTCAGTTATATATCAATTTATATTCCTTTTATTATATATTAATTAGTATCATAATCTTTATAATTGGCAAAGATGATTTATATTATTATATATTCTTCAGTTACCAATCAATATATAACTCTCTATTTTTTTCTAATATTACTAAGTTGCCATATTCCTCTACTGCTCTAATTATTACTAATACAAATATGCTATAGTTACTAAGTTTTTAAAACAGTTTGCTTATATAAGAACCTTTAATTTTTTACTAAGCTAATTAAAATCTTCTGTATTCTAATTTATAGTTAATCTAGTATTATTATAGCTATATATGCTAAACAAATCCAAATAAATTTCAAACTTCTAAAAAATAATTGCTAATTATAAACAATTAAATTAAACAAATAATTTTAAAATTTTATAAAAGAATATAGTAACTTAGTAAAGTAGATAAGTTATCATACCTCTAAGTGGTAGATTGTAAGTTCAAAACCTACTGACAGTAAAATTTGGATAATCACCTATGTAATACATAGATGGTATTACAGTGATGACATTCTGTTAATCAGTTGGGATAGGATACTTGTAACTATAGTCGCATTAGCATGACTGGCAGGTCTAGGGCATTTGTGTAATCTGTTATACAAAAGAATGCAAACTGGTACTGGGTAGTGCAAATCTAAAATAAGTCCTTGGGCTATATAAATCTGTAAAACTAAGAAGCTGGAACCCACTTAAAAATTCTGAGCAGAGAGGTAACATGGATCTTTAATAATACTACTGTAAAGGCTAGATCTAGGAAATAGATACAATATGAAGGATTTGGATAGGCAAGAACTTCAAATAAGGAGTATCACCAACCAGGCTGCCAGATTTTAGACTAAAGAAAAAGGATAGGCAAGAACTTCAAATAAGGAGTATCACCAACCAGGCTGCCAGATTTTAGACTAAAGAAAAAGGATATTAGGCCAGACTCAATATACCAAGGACAGATTACAGTTCTTCTAGTCTATCTGGATTGGGAGTTGGGTTCAAAGCAGAGATATACTAAAAGTACTAGAAATATGCTATAAAATCAATACTAGGGTCTGGGTGAACTCTGTAAAGATAGCCCATATTAGTATTCTAAAAATAAGTAGATAGTTAACAATAGAGGGCCCCCTGCATCTTACTGGCAAGTGATATACTCTGAAATGTGTAATGATCTAAGAACCAGTACAAAAAAGATAGGTAACTATACTGCTCAGACAATATACCAGTTAGATATATACAGAGGTAAGTTGAAGATTCCAATATGACAGGGTGGATGATCAGAGTATTTAAATGAATAATCTTCTAATAGATTATAGGTACAGCATTTAGAATAGAACCTTAGGGCAAACTACTTAAATAGGCAACTAAAAGTTGCATGCATGACTAGCTGTACTCTTATCTCTGTAAAAATAGTTGTAATAGCTAACCTAATATAAAGTCAATAAAGTATCATTACAAGTATGGCCTTTAACAATAAATAAATAAATAAATAAATAATTTTTATAAATATATTATCTATAGTTATAAAAATAAACTTGATTTATTTAAACAATAATTATTAATAAAAATTTAAAATTATTTATTTAATTTAATTTTTAATAATTAGTAATTATTTTTTAGATATTTAAATTTTGTTTAAATTTGTTTAATATATATAATTATAGCTAAAACCAATACTTGCAATTAAGGCTAACTATTAAACTACTATACTTTTATAAAGTTTATACAACTTTAGTACTTTTATTTATAAGTTTATTAATATTTTGTATATTTTTTTAAATTCTTCTATACTACTAATTTAGTTAGCTCAGTATAATATAACCTTATATTTAAATTAATAAGTAACCAGATTTGTAAACTTTATTTATTTAGAGATTCTTGATTATACAAATTATATGTTTTAGGTTTTTTTTTCAAATTAAGATTTTTATAAATAGTACTATTAAAAATTATATTATATTACTATTTAGAATTTCTAAATAGAGCTTCTTATTTAGTTATACTTTTTAAATTTATTTATATAATATTATATATTTTTAAAATTAGTTTTAATATAATTAGAATTACAAAATTACAATTTTAGATATTTTATTTAAGTTGTTAAAATATAAATATTTTTTTAAAATCTGTTGCTAACAAAATATGAACTCTGTATTTACTATCTGAATAATAACAACTTAATTACTATATTAGGATTACTATTTTTTTAACTATATTAACTTATAATATAACAAATTGCTATATTTAACAAAAAACTTTTAAATATAATTAATTAAATTTTTTTTATTAATTAAGCAATTATAAAACTTAAAAAAATATTTAATTACTATTTTATAATAAAACACTATAATTTTTATAAAAAAATAAAAAATATATTTAAAAAGAAAATAACAAAAGTAAAAGATAATAATAAAAAATACAACTAAATAAAAAAGAATAAGAAAAATATAAAAAAACCTAAAAAAAAATAAATAATTGTATTTATATTAAATAATTATATTTATAATAGATAGTTATAATTATAAATTTATATTAAGTTTTTTTAAAAATTATAACTATTATTAAAAATATAAACAAATTACAAGAATAAGAAAAATATAATAAATTATTACTTCAAAACTTCAAATATTACAAAACATTATATTATAAAAAAGACAGAACAATTTAGAAAGACTAAAACATGAGTATTAGTTTTGCAAAAAAAATAAAATAATTTTTATTTTATTAAAAAGTTTATATATTTGTAACTATGACTACTATAACTATATATATAGTTGCATAATGTAATCAACTTGTAATATATTATGTGACTATGTCTTATTACATAAACTACCTCAGTATTACTATTAAATTTTCACTTTTACATAATAATTATACAATAGCAAGTTTTGTTTTAATATAATATTACATGATCAAAAAGATTAAAACAAAACATTCACTTTTTAAAAATTACTTATTTCTCAAAAACTTGCATAAGAAATTACCTTTTGTGCTTTAATAAAAAAAAATTCTCTAAGTGATTTTACTATTACTTTTCTAAAATCTAGACTTATTATAAATACTAATTTTAACTTTAACAAATTTAAAAATTTTAAACACTGTCATATAAAAGTAAAAATTTTAATAGTAATACTGAAAAAAATTATCTATATGTATATTTATTTTATTTGGTATATATAATATGTAACAAATAAATATAGTTAATATAATTATATTATTATATTCTTATTTATTACACAATAATTCATCACTCTTATACCAATTGGCAATAAATTTAATCCTTTAATTTTTGTTAAATTGGCCTAACTCTAATTGTCAGAAAATTAAATATTACTAAACAACTTAGCAATAAAAGAAATACAAAAACAAATAAATACTAAATATATCATTAGCTACAAGTTCAAATTCTAGTTTAAATTTAAATTTCTTATAACTAGTAAACTATTAATTCACTATTATGATTATAAAAAATAAGATATAATATAAGTTCTATACTTAAAGCATTTAAGTAATATTGTAACAATTTATATTATTAATTATTAATACACTTATTATTTATTTTAATACATATCTAAATAATATATCTATTAGTTTATATTAGTTAAAGAATAATAATTATCTATTTTATTAAAATTTATAACATACTAGATACTATTCAATTTAAAAAATTAAGATTCTAAATATATAAGCATACTAAACAGTAAATAAACCAATCTGTTTAATTATTGTAATACTTAATACAATTTTTAAAAAAATATCTGAAATTACTAAATACAGTATCAATTATATAGTATAGTATATTGTTAAACAGAGATGTGGTGACCTAGTAAAGTGGTCAGATTGTCAATTCTCTAAGTGGTAGATTGGGTGTTCAAATCCTATCAACAGTGACAATTTGGATTATCACCTATGTAATATTCATATTATAGCAACTATTACTAATGATTGGATTGAGATACCTGTAATAATAGTTGTACTAGCAAGACTGGCAGGTCATGGGGCATCTGTGCAATATTGGAGTTATATAAAGGAATGCAAACTAACAAATCAGATGGTGTAAACACTAGATAAATCCTTGTGGCCATATAAATCTGTTGAAATTGGGTAACAAGAAGTTCATTTAAGAAGATCTGAGTAAAGAGGTAGCTGGATCTTTAATGGCCCTACTGTAAAGGCTAACCTAGGAAAATGAATACTAAGGTCTAATACCTAGTCATAATAGCTAGATGAGCAAGAACCTCTAAGTTAGGAGTTTTAGAGATATTACCAACTAGACCATCAGAATGAACTAGAGAAAAAGAATATTGGACTGACCTAATATACTAATAAACTGATCATAGTTCTATATAGGCTATCTGAATTGGGAGTTTGGTAAAAAGACAGAGGAAAAGACAGAGGTATACTAAAGTATCAGAGTTATGCTGTGAAGTAGATGCTGGAGTCTAAGTGAACTTTATAAAGACATAGTAGTTTAATAGTTAGTTCTAATTGCAAATGTTGGTTCTGTTATAGCAATATCTAGGTTAGTTGTAAAAATAGGTACAGAAGACTCTAGAAGATTTACCTTGAGGATAAATTAGTTCTAAGGTTGAGACGATGATCTGGGCATCTGGATATAATCCAGTAAATTAATATAGATTACAGATTCAGAGGGTTTAAAATAGAACACCCAAGCAAAGGTATTATATATGACAATTGGTAAAGAACCTTCAAATGAACTTTTTAAATAGGCAATATCAAAAATTTACATGTATAGCCAATTGTATGCTCTTCTGTAATGGTTCATTGAACCACAATACTGATAAGTGATTAATAAAAGTTAAAAAACCAAAAAGGTTACCTTAATATCAAAAAAAAATATTGTTAGACATAGTAGCATAATATTCTTGTAATAAAATATTACATCATTAGTATAATAATAAACCAAATCAAAAAAATATCAATAAAATTACTAATTAAAGTGCAATAATACAAGTCTTGGTATAATCATTCAGTTGCTTGCAATGAAAGCAAAGGCATGTGTCTGTAGTCTTTTTTTTTAAACTACTATTACTATTAAAATGTGATTTTGTTGATTCAAATGAACTTTTAATATGCTTAACTTGTAGAGCTTCTTTTTGTTTCTTGAAAACTAAATTATAAACAGTTAATATATTAAAAGATGAATCATTTTTTTGATAAGCTTCTAAATCAGATTTATTATTATTTTAAATATTATTTTTCATAAAGTTAATAGGCATACATTCAGAATTTACTGAATATTAACAAATAAAATTTTTAAAAAACTTATTAAGTGTTTTTATAACAGTAAATCCAGCATTCAGACTAACAATAATAGCTTTTTTGCAAAGACCATTTGTAATTCTATATGTATGACAAAAATTAAATATTTTTAATATAGTATTTAGTACACTATTATAACTAAACTATATTAAAATCAAATATAATATTGGCTTAGAAACTAAAATAACAATTTCATCTTAATAAGTAACTGAAAGTTAAGATTTTAATAATTTATATAATTTTGTATAATTTTTATCTGTATATCAATATCATAAGATCATAAGAATATGAAATGCAACAATATGTAAAACTGTCATAACTTCTGCAAAATGCTAACAATAAAGTCTCAGTTGATAAGTTATAAGCAAATACAGATATAAGTATTATCTTCAAATACAACAACATAATTTTTGTAAACTGCTCTATAACAAATAACTTCTCAAATTTCTTTAATAAGTAATGTAAACAAATCTACAATTTCATTAATATTTGTTACTAGAAAATCATTAAGATCCTTAAAAAAACTACATTCACTTTGCTCTTGTATAAAGTTTTAATTTATATTTTCTCTAAAAATTAGTATTAAATTATACCAAAAAGTTTTTGCAGTTTTAGCTCTTTGTATAAACAAAACAGATAGTATTAAAAATTTAGCAAGCTACTCATTAACTTTAGAAAATAGTTTAGCTAACATTGTTATGCCTATAGGCCTAGTATGAGCTTCAGACCAGCTATTGTAACAAATAAATAATAATTTCTAAGAAAGTTAATTATCTAAAACACTTAAAAACTCATATAAACTCATTTTGCTTGTTAGAATAGATTTAACAATAACATTAATATCTTTTATTCTTTGTGTTAATTAAATATCTGCAATAAATTTACATTAAATTTATGCCAATGCTTATTTTTCTTTAGTGTTATAGAGCTTTTATTCAAAATAGTTTTTTGCAGTTGAATATTTGTCAATAAGCAATTTTCACTCTAATTCAAATATCTGTTTTAATAAACTGTTATATGCTTATACTAATTTTTTATAAAATTAGTCTAATTTGATTCAAGCTTGCTTTTTAAATTTTTTAGCAAATTCTGTCTAATATGATAAATACAATTTATTTGATAAGTTTTAGATAATATTTTTTCAATAATTACTTTATTTGCAAGATTAGAATCTGTTACAAAAATATATAATTGGTACCTAGTAAATTCCAAAATCTTAAAAAGAACCTATTTATAACTAGTAGTAGTTTTATTATTCATTAAAGCTTGGGCTACAAGATGACTTCTATTATAATTGTTAATACATACAAAAAGACTAAGAATCATATTAAAATGATTAGTACTATATGTATTGTTATTCAAAATAATATCATGATAATAGATTCAAGTTTTAACTTGGCTAGATTTTATTTAAAAAAGTAATTTTAAAGCATTGGAAATAAGATCTAAGTGCTAATAAACTACCTAATTCTAATTTTGCACTTTCTTATTAAGAAGCATTTTTAGAAGAGTAGAAGTCTCATTAATGACTTTACTACATTACTTGAATAACTGAATAGCAAAAAATAAGGCTTGTAGTAAAAAAAGAATATTAGGATATTTATCTTCAAGAAAAGAAAGTTGCATTCTCATATTTAAGCCCTTAGAAGTATAATATTCAATACTTTGTTTTACTTTTTTAGAAATTGTCAATAATGAGATGCAAAAATAATGATATCAGGATGAATTTTATAATTATGCTCACAGTAACAGGAGGTAATTTTAATTATTTTAGTAGTTTTTAAACAGTTTGCATTAACTAATCATTTGCATTCTAAGCATTTTGTACATGATTGCTTTTGCTCTTCTAAAATAGCTGTCTTTTTTAAATTGCCTATACTTTGATGTTCATATGCATATTGATACCTTCTACAAGTAATAGCATTAGACTCTGATTCAACAGTTATCACTATAAAGCTATTTTGTTTTGCATGTCCTTTGATATAATGATCGAGCTGTTCTAGCTGAAAAATACTAATCTAGAAACAATTTCATATTTTTCTTTATTTTTTAGATCTCTATTTTGCTGTTGATCTATTTTAAATAAATTATTATTTTTTATAGCATCTACATCTAACATGTCAGATATTGGCAAATATTGTTGTGCAGAATATGCAAGAGAAACTTGTAAATTATATATTAATGTGTTATTATTTAATAAAGATTGTACATGTCATGATAATATTTCAATATTATATCTCAACAAACGAAGTTACAGAGCTATCAAGCCGTTAAAGCTGTGCATCTATCTAAAATTCGCAGAGGATTATTATAGCATAGAGATTTGTATAAAAATTCCAATAGTAAATTTTATATGATGCTACATATAGTTTTGATTTATATAGTATAACGACCACCCCATGTAACCTGCTGTTTTCTTCTAGTAACGTCATGAAATTTGTCAAATAGACAAAGACTTAAAATTACCGTTACGCCAGAATTTTGTCTTAATCAAACGGGAATTCCGGTAATTAATTATTGATTTAGTGCACTGTTCATCAGCATATTTGTTCATAAACAATGCTATATCCATCCTTAGTTCTTAGTCGAAACATCAGTCAATCAGTTACACTTATTGAAATTAACTTCATAGTATTTACTTAAATTGATTTGATCGATGAGTTTACTTTATTTGCATTGATTAAGTCAATATTCGATTTGGCTCTATTATGACGATATTATTTAGAGTTCTAAATGTCACGAGCTCAGCCATAGAGGCTATCTTGGGATTCAATCGGATTCGATCGTATAGATTAGAATTTCACTAGTATATATTAATTACATTTAATTAAATTATTGGCTTTAATTTTAAATTTAAAAACATCAATTTAAATTTTCAAAAAATCAAGAAAAGAAAAAAACGATCATATGATAATGACCTAAATAATCTGGACACAACAATACGTGAACCTTAACACAAAATCAAACCTAATTTAAGCTCAGAGGAGCTGCACAAAAGAAACTATAAATGATTGGAATGAACAAGTTATTTGTTTACATTCAATCCTGCATCATAACATTTATGCGTTTCATATAATACAAGATTTCCAAGATTATGTAGCACGACGAAATGCTCATTCATTAATAGTGTGTTGATTTTGAAGCAAATTATTTTGTGAACGTAATTATGAATACATTTTTGAACGGTCGAGAGCTGTATAACTATTTATACTAAATAAGTTTAGACATGAATTGAATTGGATAACTTTTGGTTTTTGGGTGATGATTACCGTTACGTACTCTGCAGGCCTTGCAGAATGGTAATTCACATGAGTTTAATATATTAATAATATTCATTAATTATTACTGTTTGTACATTTATGCTTGCGTCTTCGAGAACATAAAGATTGAAAATTATAATTTCTTAATAAAAACAAAACAAATCTCCGTACAAATAGAGAAAATTATATTTGTTTATATAAAACGTCTTGACAGTTTTTATCTTAAGGATTATACTACAAAATACAAGTTCATATTCGGGAAGAATCGATCATTACAATAAATAGTAGAAATAAACAAAACAATATATTTCACATTATAAGTGCTTTATTATAGGATAGTACAAACCGTTTCGTATGTATGTGTGATAAATAAAATTCTGAATTCTACTGGATTTCTATTGGTGTTCAATCAATTATTTTTTTTTGTTTTGTTTGCTTTGTTTTGTGCATGTGTGATGGAATCCTGTGAAAATTGGTACAAATTGTTACACATTCCGCGACAACTAAATATTTTGATTATCATGAAGCCAATAAAATACAACGTCAAATCGTGAATTTTTACGCGATCATTTTTCGGTATTTTTCTGTTGTAATAATAATAAAAAAAAACAAAGACCAATCATACTATTCACTGCAAGGGGGTATTTTTTGTTAACGTTAATGTTTTTCTGAAATAACTATAATTGATTACTACTGTACTAAAATAGCATATATTTTAATATAACCAAAAATGACATGTTTACAGCCTTGTTTTTCGTGCATAGTAATACTACCAACTAGCTGTGATACCACAGCCTAGAACTAGTTATGAAGTGGTACGTACCCATTGTTTGGCAGAAATTGAATGTAACAATTGGCGTATCTTTTCTTGCCAGAGATCCAAAAGATCTTTACATCCGAATTTCGAATGTTGTGAATTATGAGATTTTGTGCATACGTCGAACTCGTGCAACAAATAATAATTATAATGTTAATAATGTGGTATATATTCAGTTAACCGTTCGTGCGATTAACCTTAGATTTACTATAAAGAATGTAGTAACTATAAAGAGTATGTGTTTTTTTTTGCCTCATCAAAATAACCTAACAAATTAGATGGAATAAAGTTATGTGTTTCCGCTTTCGTGCAGACATCCAATCACGTCATCATAAGCAGACTTAACGAGCATTGGAAGCCAATAATTTACTTAGTTGCCAGACTAAAATACATATACGCGACTAGCCTTGCCAATCACGCATCATTCTATAACTCTACGCAGAAGGCTTACTATTCTACTTGAACTTCATAACCATCATACTGATAGATCATTTTCCATAAATTAACACTGCTCTCCCGGCAGGATGTCTATTCGTATTTTGTGATTGCCGTCTCGGTAGGCTTCTTCCTATCAAATTAAGGCTATACTAATGCTGTTCTGACAGGCTCTCTCTGAGGGTTGGACAAAAAACCAGCAAATGTCAGGTTAGCAGAGAAAACAAAGTATCTTGTCCGGGAAAAAACCCCTGTTCCATTTAAATACACTCTAACTATTTCGTCAATATAATATCATAATATATGTACATACACAAATTGCATAATAAAAAATATAAGATAAAGGGGGTATTATTGCGGGAACGGATAAAGTAGCAGGTTATATTATTTAATTTGCCTTTTCACCAATCGTCACCATAATACCTCCCTTTACCTTATGATCAATTCCCGATTCGCAGCAAAATACCGCTCCGATGATTTCGTATCGGAAACTTATGAAATCCGTTACTGCATGCTTTATAAACTTAATATTATTAAAATCTAAAATATTTTATTTCTTATATAATATAAATGCTAGATAAAGGTTGTCTATAAGACAATTCTTGTGGTACGTATAGTACGAATAAATATTTTGTCCTACATAGGCTCAGTTTAAACTTCATACGTATGATTACGTACTATTTACTTGTATAGGTGAGTCGCTATCCCGTGACATCCCTGGTGAGGGTATTGCTGGTGAAACTAAAAATCTGATTGGCTGTTATATTAAATTTCATCAGTTTCACCACCATTCACCGAGTTTCACCAGTCTAATTATTATCTTAAATAAAAAAAAAAAACACAGAAATACCGGATGCGAGTACCCGGGCATTCCCATAATCCAATTTGGTATCTGGGACACTTACGTAGGGGTATGACACATATAGTACGTACGTACCCAATTATAAATCACCGCCTAACTGTTAAAACTGGTAGGAGGTACGCGCCATGAGGCACACAGGTCTATTTTTCTACGTATATGGTTCCGATCGCAAATCAAAGGATTAAAAATTCATATCACACAGATGTATTTTATGTATTCTAAACCAATCGCCAATTGACTAAACATGTCAAAATATTTAACTATAAAATTTGGTTATTTGAACTAACCTTAACTTTAAATTTAATTAAACCATATGAAGACATGTCTTTGATAATCCTACATCAAACATAAAATGTTTTAGACTTCTATAATATCGTTTCACATGATTTTGCATCTGCTACCGTACCCTGGGTTTTCTAGATTCCAGAACTTCATTAATTAGTACCCCCGTATATTATTCAAGTTAACAGTCCTTTAGAATATATAGGTATCAAGTTTATCATACGTATAGAAATGTACTCTCGCGAGATAAACCTACATACATACATTTCACATATTTCGCGCATGATCGTATAATGTTTTTTTAGGCTTTAACGATGAACAGAAAATAATTGTGTTTTAGGTTATAAATATCAATTCGGTATAAATGTTGTGAGTGGGAACGGAATCTAAGTGGATTTGGAATTTCTTAGGATTTCAGGATTAGGTTTATATAAAATAATTTCTACCCTAGGATTGTAATTTTATTAAGAAATTCCAAATCCACCTAATTTCCGTTCCCACTTACAACATAAACAAATGTTGAAAAGTATTTGGGGAAAACATTCAAATATTATAAGTAGGCTGCGAATTTGAAAGACAGAGGATTGCGCAGAATTCTATCATTTGGGAATTCACATTAAAAAATTCACAGAATGGATATGAAATTTTTAGTGAGACACACCGTAATTTTGATTATTTTCAATATGAAGATTGTTTGAATATAAAACATATCGATCATGGTGTTTAATGTATGATTCGAATAAAGAAATTCAAGGATAGACAAGTAAAATTAAGAGCATCAATGAAAAAAACTCGACTTAAAAATTACAATTAATATCTGATTAGTGGATTCCGTTTGATAAATTACAAAACCTCGGAGAAATTGGTCGAGGAAAGTTAGTACTGTCTACTCAACAATTTTGCCAGATGATTATTATAATCCAGTTAGTCATCGTGATCGTTATATTACGCTAAAACTGTGCCGTCACAATAATTTGAAAATTCATGCTTAACTTCGTATATTCAGTGAATATTCAGTATTAGAAATATATAGACTGACTCAAAACCTTACAACAAACGAATACGTGATAATACTTGTGTATGAGATGTAACTTTAAAGCTCTTATTTGGTAGGATAAATTACCGATGTTTTACCATATTTCGTACCATATTTTCACGTATAATACTCGTAAGTGTGATTTGAAAATCGCGCTCCCTGAAAATGCCATGCATAGTTTCAAAATAATGTCCCATGCGCGTTCCAAAGTAACGCGCACCCATATAATGAGCGATTTCGTCACTCAGTGTCAGTTAATAATCAGATATAGCAGGCAGCAGAATAATATGCTGCTACAATAAGAATTAATCAAAGTATTAAAATACTCCGATTGGCAAATAACTATTATACTTACCAGTTAAATATGTTTGTGTAAGAAGAGATTAAGAAGTAATCCATCGATTTGTGTTTGAAGATCAAGTTTAGGAGAAATTTATTTTTGGTTCAAAATAATGCCGTGCGCGCACTCTAAATAACTCAAGTTCACGAATTAGGTTAGTTCATGCGGATTCCCTCCTGGAATTATTTTACGAATTAGCGATACCCAATCTTGTGTTTCAAATTTAGATTAGTTAGAAAGAAGGATGAAAAATCTGGTGAAATCTTTAGTGTATTACAAGGAAAAGCATTTATTCAAACAGCAAAGTTTGAGAGAAAGACCCAAATAGACAATTGGAACGCTTGAGTGCTATGTCAAATTTGCCAACAATGTATGGATCCTGATCCTAAGAAAAAACCTATTGCTTGACATCAATAGTAAAATTTTCAATGGATGCATGATAGTGAAAAAATGAAACAATTTAAGAAAACAGACAAATTAAAGCTAAAAATTGGTAAATCAAAACATCCAGATTATATATATATAATCGATCCTATCTAATTGCATATATTCTCTAAATGCATAAAAACGGTTGAGTCTTAATTATTAACACAAAAATGGTTCTTATGATTTAAATACATATACTGTCAATATCAGTGTTGGCAATTTCAAATGAACATAACCAAATGAATTTGTTATTGGTTATTTAATTATATAAATTTGTGATGATCCAGTAATCTGTTTTATACAAAGCTAACCTAGTTTTATGTAACATGCTATAGTCAGGTTAATATTGCAGTTACAGGTATTATCAGTTAAACTGTTATATTATACTATTTTTACTCTTATAAAGTTTACTCAAATCTTAGTATCTATCTTTCTGATTTATCTTTTACTAAGTTCTTTTTTTTAGAATTAATAGAATTCTTCAAATTATCATAATCAGATTTTTGATATATTTCTGTATTTTTTTCTTCTAATAATTCTCAACAGCCTGGTTAATGTATATACTTCTTTATATATATTTGTTATTTGATTTATCTGTTTATATTTTTGGAGAATGTTTGAAAACTTCTATCAATTCAATAATACTGTTAAAAGTTTATCTTATATTTTTATTTAGGAATTTTCAAATAGGTTTTTTCTTTTTGATTTTTTGATTTTTTATATCTAATAATCTTATCATAAATTTATATCAAAGTTTTTTAGAATACTAGTAAACATTCTTCTATATATATGTAATATTACATTTTGAGTAGATGTGTCAAGTTCTTATTTAAAATAATGTAATTCAAGATTTTAAATATATCAATCCAACTAATTATCAAGAAACAGTCTGTTATAATACAGATATAATTTTTAAATTTTATTGTAGATAAAATTTAAATACTAAACTTATTACTTAAAGGTTGACAATTTATTTATTATATCAAGTTATCACTTTTTTTTTGTAAAATAAGTTTATTTAGTATATAAAATTTTAATTATAAGATTTTATAAAAATTTATAAATAAAATTTTATAAAATATTGTTATATTTATTTATTTAAAGATAAAAGGCAATATTTTAAAATTATATATAAGCCTAATAGTAAATTTTTTTTATATTTAATTTTGTGAAAAATTATATTAACTAACCTAATTTTAATTATTAAGTAAAAATTGTAAAGTAGGTCTTTCTTATTTTAATGATAGTAAAATTATTAAAATAGGTTAAAAACTTATTAAGATATTAATTTTTAAAGATTAGGATATAAAATTATTGAATAAAATTAACTAATAGATTTACTTAAATTAACCAATCAAATTCTTTCTTTTTGTATTATCTAAGGAAATTTTAACCCATCTAAGTAAACTTTGTTATATATACAAGTATATTTTTTTAAAATAATACAATACATCAAAATTTTACTATAATAGATAAATAATTTTATTTATAATATTATAAAATTTTTTTATTAATTAATTAAAAAATAAAAAATTTTTATTAGTAGCATATATTAATTTTAGATAAAAATTTTAATATATCATATATAACTATATAAAAATGATTTATGTGCCTCTTAATCTTAAAACTTTATATATATATATATATTTTAAATAGTTTTGTTTTATTTTTTAAAAATTATATCTTTATAATCTAAAAACAAAAATATATCTAAATTATTTTTTAATTTAGTAATAATTATTAGTTTTTATTCAATTCTAATAGGTAAAGATAAAAAGTAACAATTAGATAGTTATATGTTTAGCTTATAAATAAATACTTGTATTAACAATAAACTTTATAAATTTCATTATATATTTAAAAAACTATTTTATTATCTAATTTAAATTATATTAACCCAATACAGATTACTAACTTTTTGTAACTATTTTTAATAGCATTTTGTTATTTTATTATACATCTTATAAAATATAGTGTTAAGCTAATACTTATAATTAAAGTTTTTGATTTTTTAGTTATATAACATTATTATTAAACTGCTTTATTTAATAAGAAGATTTAGTTTTTGTTGTTTATATCAACTTTATATAATCTAATCTTACTATTTTTAGTTAATACTAGTTTCTGTATTTTTTATTAATTTATTTATTATAATTTTTAAATTGATAATTTTAGATTCATAATTTTTATAATTACTTATTTTTAGTTTGTTTATTATTAATTTTTTTAAAAATTTTTAACAATAATTTAAAACTTATAAATAAACTTATATTTTAAACTAAGAACTTTTACTGCTACTAATTTTCTAATTTAGTATTAGTAGCATATATTAAAAATTAAAATTAGTTTTAATAATTCATAGTTATTATATAAATTTTATAATATTTTAGAAATTTATCTAATTAAATTTTATTTTTTAAATTTTTTTTTAAGGTAACTTCTTAGATCTTTTGATTTTTATTAATGTTTTTAGTAATATGATTCTATATAGAACTATTACAGAAAGAATATTCAATTAGCTATATGTTTAACTTTTTATATTATCTATTTAAGAAGTCTTTTTAAAGATTTATTACTAATTGTTATATTTAATATTTTTACTTAAGTATTCTATTTTAAACTCTTTAAATCTGCAATCTGTATTAACTTTACTAAATTATGTTCAAATTATTGTCTTAACTTTAGAACTAATTTATTTTTAAGTTAAACCTTCTGAAGTCTTCTAATATCTATTTTATAGCTAATTTAGTATTACTATAAGTGAACTAATACTTGCAATCAGAACTAGTTATTAAATTGTTATACTTATACAAAGTTCATCTACTTTAGTACTACTTTATAGCATATCTGAAATTTTTTAATATATTTTTATTTTATTTCTAGACTTCTAATTCAGATAGTTTAATAGAACTATAACTTATTTTTTAGTATATTAGATTAACCTAATATCTTTTTTTTTTAGTCAATTCTAACAGTTTGGTTAATAGTATCTTTTATCTAAAGTTTTTATCTGTCTGGCTTTTTTATATTAATATTTGTTTTTTAAATCTAGCTTTTACAATAATATTATTAAAAATCTATATTACTTCTTTACTCAAATTTCTTAAATAAGCTTTTTGTTTTCTAATTTTTATAGATTTATACAATTACAAAAACTTATCTTAAGTTTGTATTACCTGATGCCAGTTTGCATCTTTTTGTATAACCAATTATACTAATGTCCTATAATTTGTCAGTTATACTAATATAACTATAATTATAAATATCTTAATCTAATCATTAAAAACAATTATTATAATATAAATAATATATAGATAATTGTTCAAATTTTTGTTATTAGTAGGTTTTAAACTTACAACTTACTATTTAAAAGATTAACAACTTATCTACTTTATATATTTTTTTAATTAAATTTTAATAAATTCTAAAATATTATAAAATATTACAAATTTATATAATAAATCTGAATTATTAAATTAGTTTTAAGTTTAAATATATATCTTAAAAAAATAGTAATTTAATCTAAAAAAATATCTTTAATTAGTTAACTAAACTAAATTATTTTATATTAATTGATTACAATTAGTTAAAATTAATAATCTCTATTTTTTGCTTTTATTTATATATATAACTTAAAAATGTTTCAACTATATAATAATTATTATAGTATTATTTTTAACTACTTTTTATTTTATTTTTGGCAGTCATGATAGTTATTAGTTAAAAGTTTATTTATAACAGTTTAGTATAAACAATATACAAATATAACTTTATCTAACTCTTGTGCTATTATTATATAGTTATTCTAATTAGTATCTATAAGTAACCTGCTACACCAGACCTACTAAAGTCTGAATAAAGCTTATCTGTCTGTTATTCTACAATTGAACACTACTAATCTGATATTATTCATTTATAGAGAGATAAAAAACTTCTTATTAAAAAAAAATATACTAAAAAAATATATATAAGAAAAACATATAAAAAAAAACAAATATTAAGAAATAAAATTAAAGAAAAATACTAATACAAGATCAGATAGATGATTATAAATTGTAAAGACTGTATTGGTTTACTAAAAATTATATATTACTAAATACAATAATTTCTATTTTATTTTTATCTAATTAATATATTTAATACTAAATCTTATATTCTAAGAAAAATAATTCAACTAAAACTAAATTAGCAAAAAAATTTTTATATGTTAAGCATTTTAACTTCTTGTTATTAAATTCATTTTTATATACAGATCATAATACTTATTATCAAATCTTATATTTTGATACTTACTATATTTTTGACCAATTATCTCATCTTTTACTAAAAATCTCTATTTTATTTTATTGTTATATTTTTTTTTAAGACATATATACTTATGTTTTATTTTTTTATTTTTATTTTTTTTTCTTAAGCAGTCATGTTAGTACTTTATTAAGATTTTGAAATTACATTTTCAATTACATAAATATTCTTAACAACTAAGTCTAGCATCACCCAGCCACCTTAATGGTATCTAAGTGCAACCTGTTGCATTATTTCAAGCAGAAGTAAGCTACTTGTCTAACTACTTAAAGTCCATAATAGAAAGGTCTTCTCCCTTTTACGACAAGTCCCAAAATTGTCTTCTGTGTTTTTGTTCTAATTTGTTTTTCTTTTTCTCTTATTTCTCTTTCTTTTCTTCTATCCTTTGCTGATTTGTCTTTTTTCTTTTATATGATCTTACCTTCTTTTTCTTTTTTTCTCTTTTTAACCTACTTGTTATTCCTACTTTCTTTTCCCATTCACTGATCTTTTTACATCAGACTTTCCATACTTGTTCATAAAATGTATTCCAGGCCATATTTGCTATTACACTTGCAAATTGCTATCTTGACTTTATGTTTAGGAGCTGTCGTAATCTATTTTGTGTTTCTTTT